CAAAAACAGTCTTAACCCTTAAGTATTAACACTTAAACACAGTGCAACACTGCAACTGGCCAAATGCAAGTCTGCACAGTCTTAACACTTAAATAGTTAAACATAGTGCAACAAAAAACAGAGAGGGCATCCCTCAACAAACAGTCTTGAGCAGTAGCACGGCCTCACGGGGCGTTGAGCAGTAGCACGAGGCATGATTGCACTTGAACCTAAGCTATGTGAATAGAGTGTTCAACCAAAGCTGTTATAACACGACCAAGAGTAAGCAAACTCTTATTGATTTCCCCCGCTTCTCTTGCACGAGCCTGAATTCAAACATATATAGTTAACTTGTCGCTAAAAACAGAGTGAGAACGACTGCAGAAGAAGAGTATCATTAACTTGTCGCTTAACATTTACTTTTTAAATCGATTAAAGCTAACAGGTCCTACCTGCTGCGTTTGTTCAGTAGAGTGTCTGCTGTGCGCCTCCTGGCTGCTCCTCGCTCTAGGAGGTTATAAATGTCGTTTGCACTGTACACAGCTTCTTCCTCAAGACCCCTCACTACAACACAACCTTTTCCATCCTCCATGAGAGATAAAGGCTTCTTTTGTCTCTCTTCTGAAGACTTTGAGGGCTCTTCTAAAGCTATCAAGTCAGTGATTTCTTCGTTGTATAGTTCAAAAAAAGTCACTTTCATGCTATAATCTGTATTTTGACCTTCAAGCGTATCAAAAATTTGGCGAATNCTCCAGGAGGTTATAAATGTCGTTTGCACTGTACACAGCTTCTTCCTCAAGACCCCTCACTACAACACAACCTTTTCCATCCTCCATGAGAGATACAAGCTTCTTTTGTCTCTCTTCTGAAGACTTTGAGGGCTCTTCTGAAGCTAGCAAGTCAGTGATTTCTTCATTGTATAGTTCCCAAAAAGTCACTTTCATGCTATAATCTGCATTTTGACCTTCAAGCGTATCGAAAATTTGGCGAACTGCCCTTGGAATAATACCTGCTTCAGCTGGTAATTCACCAGCCTATAACATAAGGAAAGAACAAGTCTTATGGACAAGAGTAGATCAATGTGAACGATGATATGGTGTATAGTGTGAACCAGTTAATACCTTATTCCTCATTCCTCCTTCCATTGTGTATGTTTTACCTGTACCAGTTTGCCCATATGCAAATACAGTGCAATTAAATCCGTCAAGAACTTCCTTAATAATGGGCGAAATGGCTTGATCATATATCGATCTCTGTTGTGCTTTTGGGCCAAAAACCTGGTAAATAGCATATCTTTAAGACATATCCTAATGCTAACATTCTTAACATGCTATCCATCCATTTAATGAACAAAATGCTACTATAAAACAAAGAATTATACCTTGTCAAAAGTGA